CTCTCTCTCTCTCTCTCTCTCTCTCTCTCTCTCTTCCCCCTCCTCCTCCTCCTCTTCCCTCTCCTCTTCCTTCTGCTCTCCCCCCCTCAAAATAGTGCCTAGGATATTGAAACCCTTGAACTCTGATGAATTCTTCAAACTATGAGAATGTGCTGATGTCAGAAAAACAACGACTGATAATTCAGAAGAGGAAACTGGGTTTTCACATTTTCTTTACATCTTCATGTGCTTTTTTTTTCTGAGCCCCCTGGGGAGATTCAAAAAAACTATATCCCACTACGGCAGCCAATCCACTGCTATCCTAAAATGAAGGAAGCCATGCTCACCTGTCTCTTTTACTGAGCTCTGTTTCCTGAGGGTAAGGGGAGGTGCTCCATTTATTCCTAAACCTGAAGCCCATAGCATACTATTTAGCACACAGTACAGATCAACTAATAATTGCTAAAACATACTCATAATAAATAGGAAAAACTCCCCCTTTAAAAAGGGTAGTATTTTAGAGGCATTTCCATATGCAGACCTAAAAAAGAAACAGTGGGTTCTATGTCCTACTAGTACATCAATTTGCAAACCTAGTTCTTTAATTTCTCCTCCTTCAATACCCGTCTTCCTTCCATTTTCCTTATGAACCTTTTGTGATACTAATAATGACAAAACAGTAAGCTGATCCAAATCCAGATTAGTTTTGACATCTGTTTACTGAGTACATGTTCCTACTCCTTTACATGTTTTCCATACAGTTCTTCACAATAAAATAAAATGTATAGCATGTTCTAAACTATGGAATAAGGATATAGGAAATTTAAATGTAACTGGTGGAAATTGGGCTGTCTGAAAAATTTCTTTGAATCTAATCATTCCTGACAACTACTCCATGACTTTTTTTTATATACATATAAAGTCCTAGTTTACCAATAATGTATTTTATAGTAACTTAACTGTTAATTAAAATTGCTTATGCTGAGAGCACTCAAAGGTCCTCAGTCAAGCTAACCAACTTTTAAAGACCTGGTACTGAGTGAGGGGGAAAAAAATCCCTTAATAGCAGTCAAGGGAACACAATATGCTTGGGTTAAATTAGAGCACCTGGTGTCCAGAGGCAACTCTTCTGTGTAAATTAATAAAGGGAAAAGGGAAAAGAACAAGATTAAAAGCTCCAGTGTGACCTGTGTGAATTCTAACAGGTGGATACAAAACTGATAATTAAGGACTTATTACATATAACTATGCCATCATTAAATTAGGCCAAAGATGCAAAATACATCAATGAAATATAGAAAAATAGTGTTTTACAAAGAGTGTGTGCTCTATGAAAGAGTTACCTAAAAATTTCATATGTAAGACTTTTAAATCTGTCAGTAATAGCCACTGGTACTATTATTTAGTCTATGCTTACTAAATCAAATATTCAAATATCTTTTATGTTGAAAGGTACTTAGTGATGCACAGAGTAGTGTGAGAGTCAAGAAAACATTTAAAGTAAAAGTGAGCCACCTACCTTCTTCTTTTAACACAGGGTAGATAGAGTCTTAGTATGTAGCCCTGTTGGCTGACCTATAATTTTCTAGAAAGCCCAGTCTCACCTCATATTGGCCTTCCGACTGCTACAATTAAAGTCATATACTACCAGACCAATTAACTGTTTTTGATAACTGGCCCCTCTCATTTAAGAATTTTCATTCACTTCAAAATAAATCAAGTAGGTTTTCTGGGGAGATATTATTGAATAATTAATAATAAAATAGCTAATACTTTTTTAAATGTCCTATTCTGCTGTAATTTTAAACTTAGTCTTCTACCAACTGTGACAATGAGAAATGCTATTGGTCCATTTGATCCTCAAGCAATAAGAGTATCAATTATCAGAATGAGATAGCATAAATTTGAATATTGATTTTTATTGTTTTTCCACCATAAGTTTTATGAAAACATGCCATTTCCAAAAAAAGTTAAATGATACAGTGCAATAAAAATTATAAATTAATCCATTTGTTGTCAAGCAACTAACAGAAAGGAAGTGTGTGAAAGGTGCTAATACACTTGGGGTATGGAACCCTAAAATCCAAACACCACATCTATATACAGTTGCATAGTAGTTCTGTAGACTCCAAACCCTGAGTAACAGAAACAGTCAAATATCGGTAATATGAAAAGACTCTAACCAGATCATCTTAGTAGAAATAAGAATATTTTTGTTTACATTATTTGTAAGGAGGACACCCACAAGGAGTGAAGAAAACAAAGAAATTTCATATCTGAAAACATACTTCTGTATTTCAGAAAAAGTAACTCCAGTGTCTTCTCCTAATCAACTACAATGACAACACCTTAAAAGCTTTCTATTATAAGACTGCTGGCCTTTGATGAGGTTCTGTAAAGGGCAACTACTGATAAGGTGGTGTAAACTGTAGGAACTGCTCCACCTCAGACTCTTTATCTCACACCCTATGTATCTCCTCAATAAATATGCACAGAAAACATATTGGTTTTATATATAGCTTTATTGAAATAGTAAATATATGTGTCACCAAAATTCCATTGCTTTAGATTTATTATGTACCTAAGTGTATGTATCAGTTTGTCCACTTAATAGCTTTAGCAAGTTACTGAACCAACTTTCTCAGTCTCTCTCTCTCTGAAGCTCCATTTCCTTATTTGAAAATGAGATCAATTAGTAAAGTAAACACCTGGCAGAACAGTCAGAAGAATCAACTGAAATAATGCAAGTAAAGTAATTTCATGCCTGGCCCATGACCATATAGTAACAAAAAATAATGCTGATTCTGAAAACAACATGTTCATTCTAAGACAATATTGGTCAAGCTAAAAACAGAATACAAAGACGGTACAAGAAAATGTCTCTAAAAGAATAGATATAATTTTTTAAAACTCTCTCATTTATCTTGTTTGTTAACTTTTAATTAAAGCATGTTTTTCACAAAGGTTATTCCTGATACATTTATACTATTATTTTAAAGTAGTGTGTTTAGTTTATAAATGATATTCACACACATATCAGTGTTTCTGTTTTCCTGTTATCAGTGATTAAGACAGCGAAACAGGGTAGTAAACTGATAAGAAATGTTGGCAACTGAACAATGATCAGGGTTTACCTAGTAAAGGAAAAAAATGTTACAAATGTTTATAAGACATATTCACTATAAAGATATGTACTCACTGAATAAATTCACTTACATTTATTTGCTATTTATAAGTTTTTTAATCAAAATAGAACTGTATTTATTGTGTGAAACACACATTATTCAGTGACTCAATATAGCTCATTAACATATACTATTTCAAATAATTGTGTGCTGAGAGTACTTTTTACATTTGCATTTATTTTCAATACAATGTAGTATTAATTATAGTCATTATCTTATATAATAGATTTCTGTAACTTTTTTAGATGGATTAAGATAGGATGTCTCTATGTAATACAGGTTAGCTTCTTAACCATGATCCTCCTCCTTCAACCTCTATAGCACTGATATGGAAACAAGAAGACTCACTGTGTTGATGATGGGAATTTAAATTAGCACTGTCATTATAGAAAAGAATATACTTATCATTAAAATGGTAAATAGCATAACACCACTGGATATAAAGACATTTTGTTGTTAATATACACGTATCTAATATTTTTTTCTTTTTTTATTGTTTATTTATTTATTATGTATACAATATTCTGTGTGTATGCCTGCAGGCCAGCAGAGGGCACCAGACCCCATTACAGATGGTTGTGAGCCATCATGGTTGCTGGGAATTGAACTCAGGACCTTTGGAAGAGCAGGCAATGCTCTTAACCTCTGAGCCATCTCTCCAGCCCCAGTATATAATATTTTTATGTAGATGACATTATCAATGTTACAAAAGTACTAGCTAAACTGATCAGCAACTTAAAGCTAGAAACATTAAGTTTGAGTGAAAGAGAGAAGACTGAAAAAGCCAAAGTGTTACTAGCATAACAATAACAAAGAATGTTCCTGGGTTTGTTATTGTCATCGTTTTGGGCTATTAAGATAGGACTATGGAATAGAAAACAAGAACAATTGAGTGACTGAGAAATATTAATAATTTAAGATGAAATAGGGCTTGTATAACAAAGGCAGGCAAGCTACAAATGTTATTGCATTCTTCATACGAAATGTATGTTGATGTGTAAGATGAGTGCTAAATTAACAAATCATGTTTGGGAATCTCTAAAAGAGTTCTGGTCAAGCTAACCAATGTGAGATGGCCCAATGCTTCATTTATCCCTTTTCCAGTCATAAAGAGTGGAATAATCCAAATATTATATTCATTATTTTAGAAATAATTTAGACCACACAAAAAAAAGAAACACCCTACAAAATGTAAATTGTATGACTGTTGCTAATATGAGAAAATAGAATGAATTAATTCCTTGGTTCCAATTAGCATTTTGTTGTTTATTTTATACTCTGCCTTCTCAACTGTATTTCCTATACTCAACAGACCTTGTAGACTTGGGCGCACTTTGCTTTGGGCCAACAAGCACAGGAATAAGTTAATTGAAAAATTCATTTGGATTGCCACAAACTACAAAATACTAGAAAACAAAAAGAAATAAATCTGTCCCTGATTTTAGACCCTTTGGCTAGAAAAGATAGGCATTCTAGAAAATAAATAAACAAGCAAATCCAGATATTCTTAGAAAAACTTCTGTTTTGTCAATAAGAGTTGGTTCTGTCCTTTATATGACATAAACAGTCCACCACTAGCATCCCTATTAAAAATGCAGTGCTATTCTAGACACACATAGTCTAAAATGACAATGAAATTAGAGGTCAAGCTCACCATCATTTTCTCAAAGAGGTCCAGAACTTCCTTTTCAGACAAATTCTGAAATCGTTCATCATATAATGGCTGAGCCGCTGGAAACTCACTCATCACAGCTTGAGAATCAATAGGATGTTGAATAAGAGGTTTTTCTTTTTTGACGGTAGATTTTCTGAAACTTGTAATTCGGTCACGCTGCAAACAGAAATAAATAAATAAATAAATGAATGAATGAATGAATGAATGAATGAATAAATAAATATAAATAAAAGCCCTAAGAAAAAGATCAGGAGCCAGGAACATGAAGAATGGAAGCATCAAAATGGCACTTAGTATAATATATATTATTATTGTCTCTTGACAAAACACTACTGTAAGCAGCAAGCTCCAGTTAGAGATTGAACTATTTTGCAGCCTTGAAGTTGTTATTAAGCTTCAGAAGTCTGGGGGTGAAAAAAACATGCCTCAAAAGTAAAACGTAGCCACTTGTCATTTCTGTTTTGCACAGGAAGTAAGTGAATAGACACTTTGAATCAAAATCTTGTGGTGGTTGTTTCTGGGAGAATGGGTCTTTAGTGCCAACTTCATGCTATGGAAAGAGAAAAAGAAAACAGCTACTCACGGCAACTAAAAGAAAAGTTTGGGGTAATGGTTTTCTTCTGCACAAGGCAAAACCTGTAATAAGTGTACATGAATACCTGTCAGTGTAGCAGTTAACTCAACTGAATAGCATGGAGTCTGAAGACAGACACATAGAGTTCAATTCCAAAATGGGAAAAAAAAAAAAAGTATCTCTGAATCAGTTGTTGGGAAATCACTTTCTCTCTGTTTCCTCTGTACATTACAGGGTCACTGAGAGAACCAAATACAATTGTTGTGTGTTGATGCTATTAGTTACTGTTATTGCTGTACTCCTCAACTTTTACCCTCCCTAATATTTGGCACCATTAGAAAGTGAATGAAAGCTAAAACACTTAGTCCATTTGTTGAAAATGTAAACAGAAATATCTTCCTCATCCAAATATTATTCTGCTAAACTCACGACTTTATGGGTATTTCTTTTAAACCACTGATACCATGTACAATCTCTAACAATTAGCTTGCTCTTTCATATCAGATGAGTCAAGGACTTTGGCTACACGTCAACAGACCATTTGATTTAAAAACCACCAAATATTTGACATTAAACATTAGTAGTACTCATAAAACTGAAGGCAAATCAGTTTTATTCTGGTGTCTGTTAGGAAGCACATGCAATACCATCAGGTCACATTAAGCAAGCAGACATGTTAGCAATGAGGACAGTGGATGTGCACTGCCATGTTACCACAGTCTTTTCAAATAACCTTAAGAATACAAATACATAGTAGATATTACTACAGTTTAGGTAAAATTTTGTAGACCTCTAAGAGAACATATTCTTTTTTTTATTGATTGAAATAATGTTTTTAACCATAATGTACACTTTGAAGAAACCAGTTTTAAGCAGCTTAGTTAGGATTACAAAAATTATTTGAGTATATGGTTGCTTACAGAGAGATTATAGAAACCACGACACTTTAGAGCTGAAAAGAAAATTGAAATAGCATCTAAACCAACTCCCTCAATTCACAGAACAGGCTGACTCACTTAAACACATGAGTCCCTGGTTCTGACATCAGTTTTCACATTACAATTATTTCTGTAAAATTATTTAAGCTGCATTATTAAACTTTCTTTTAATTCTTTGAGGGCAGTGAAGTTGGTTTAGAAAGGTAGTATCTTTACACAACTCAAGAAAAACAATTTTAGTAATCCCAAATAAACTGAGTCAACTGTTACTGAAAGATATGGTGGACATGAAAGCATTGAAATATGCAATTATCCATTAAGTTAACATATCTCTTCTCCATTCACTTCATATCACTTAAAAATAGCCATACAATCCAAGCTTTTTATACTGAGTGTCAGCATTACTAACATGTAGATTTGATATTTCTACACCCTTCATTTTAATGCAAAAAAATGCCTTTTTATTTCAGCTATATTTTGGTAAAAAAGATGAAATCAAGCTGCATACTTTCATCTTCTAAGAGCAGTAACATTATTTTACATTTTTGTAGATAAGTAACTTGCAAAAAAACTGTGTAAAATACTAGTCAATAAAGTTTATGTATAAAGAATGCATTTCATTACTAACTTATAACTTTTAATAAGAATTACTACTGTAGTCTGAGCTTGAAAATAAATAAGCTTTTGAAATTCAATAACACATATCTGATTAAGATAATGAACTTAATTTCTTTTTCATTTGGAAATATTTTCCTCTACTACCATTATTTAATGTATTCACAATTTATTTAAATATCAAAAGAGAAAATGTCCATGTTTTCTTGGGTCCACATTTATTGCATCAAACTTTAAAATGTTGTTTTGTTATATATTACAATGATAAAAATATAATTTAGTTGGGATATGACCCAACTGTTTATGTAAGTTTGGGGCAGTGTTTCTTTTTATTGAGGAAGGGTGAGGCACTACATAGCCCTGGCTAACCTGTAACTCCCTATGTACACCAGGCTGACGTCCAATTTGCAATAATCCTCCTTCAGCATCTGGAGTGCTAGAATCACAGGTATGCACCACAGTGCCTGGCTACTATTGTTTATGTTAATATGTGAAAAAGGAAAAATTACTCTATTGGTATTTATTCTATTTTGTTCTATTTTCTAAACATCTGGTCACTTTATGCATTGCATATATAAATGTTTTAATGTCCACTCTTGTAAGTGAAAATGTAACATGCATAAGCAATGCAATAACATGCTGCTCACACCACCTTACCACATCATCTGCCAAAGTTTTTATTTGAATGTTCTATTAAAACCAAAAGAAAACAAACAAAATACCAGTCAGAAAAAAGAAATTCATAGATCGAACAACAGTTATCTGAAGGAATTGGATGATTGTCATCTTTTACCAGATTATAGTTCCAAAAAAAATTTACAAAGTTCAACATTCAAATAATACAAGCATTACAAAATGAAATATATATATGTATATATATATTACAAAATAAGGCTTGGTTATAAACAATTCAGTGAGCCTCAGGATCCAAAAGGTATTTCAAAATCTTACAAAAGCATACAAACAGTATGAATTCTAGATCTCACTATATAAGTTCAGCCATACATCACTTCATGACAATGATATGCTTCAAGAAGTGCACAGTAAGTGACTACATCATTAGGTAAACATCACAGAGCATACTCAAGAAAACCAGGATGTCATTAGATGATACACTATTACAGGATCCCCATCATATGTGCATACCCATCTCTGATTCAGACTCTCATGTAACACATGACAGTACACTGAAATGTCATTTATGACATATTTAAGATAGAACCATTCCACAATGGTTAGAATTTAAATTTAGCTCTTCTGACTTGTTTCATAATCTTGTTCCTTACAGAAGCTGAATAAAGTATATTTAACATGATCATGGATGTTGGCATGTGTTTTTACTAAGTAAATACAGTGTTTTCATCCAGAGAATTCCATTGTGAGTTTTCAGTAAGTCAAAACTGCTTGGTCTCAAAATGTCAGGAAATTTCCTACAATGACTACTATCCTCCCTGTGCTATTAAAAGATAACCCTTCCCTAGAACAGTTGTAGCAAATGTACTAGTGCATACAAAGATCTTTTCTATACTTTGAATTCTTTGATTTCCTCAGGAATTTAAACTTCTAATCCCTGTATTAAATCATCACAAACCACAACCAATCTTTATTACCTTAGAAAAAGAATAGAGGGGCTTGCAAGATGGCTTAGTAGGTAAAGTGCTCACTGAACAAATGTGAAAACCTAAGGTTGAAACCAACATTAAGCCAGGTGCAGTCCTGTGCATCTATAATCCCAGGACTTTGACAATAAAATGAGAGGCAGTGGCAGGACAGCTAGTGGGCCAACTAACTATGTAGCAAGGAACAACAAAGAGGCCCTGTCTCAAACAAGGTAAAGAGGTGAGGACCCAGAAACGCCCAATGTTGTCCTGTGACCGCCATTCAGCCATGTACATGCTCTGGAACACATGTATACACACACTCCATACACACACAGACACAGGCATGTGCCCATATACATACACATATGTATGTGCCCACACACATATATACACACATACATGTATATGCTCCCCTACATACGCAAATGAATCATACACAAACACAAAAGATAAAATGGGGATTATTTATGTCAAAACTAAAGAAATATTTAAACGATTAATTCACCTTAGAACTTTCTCCACCAACTGTTTTCTCTTGAGTTTCTGTGGTGGGTTACAGAAAACTTTCATGCACGGTAATGGACTTGATTTCTGCTAAAGCACAATTACAGACCTAAAGTGACCCTGCTAACATCTGACATGAGCCTGTCCACCTGGGTTTTTGAGATAGATTACATAACTCTTTAAGCAACTTCTGCTTTCCCTTTCTTCTCCTTCGGGGTTATAAAGCTATGATTGGAAACATCTATATCTCTAAAGCAAGAATATAAGTTAGGAGAAAAATGATTTATTTTAGTCAAATTCCGTAAGTTAAGGTACATGTATGTCACAAATGCTTCAAATCTGTATCTCAACTGAACACATGTTGACAATTTAATCAGTGAAGACAAACAGAAGAAAAATAGAAATGCTAGTTATCTTTTCACTTGGCTTTACAGGAAGAGTCTGGAATCTTCTAACAATTCTCTATTTTCGAAGTAGCATTCTTTTTGTTCACAAGCCACATAATGTGAACAGTTAGAGTTCAGTGGAATTTAAGATAATCTTAGCAAAAGTTCTCATTTTACAAGTAAGAGTGTATCATTTATGCTAATGGTACCACTGCATTCCATTTGTCTATGCTTAAGACTTCTACAATACGTCAGTATTCATTTCCAATAAATAGCCTAAAGACTAACTGTTCGGTAACCCACACATACACACACACACACACACACACACACACACACACATGATGGAGGAAGGACATTGGTTAATTATAATAAAGAAACTGCCTTGGCCCATTTTATTGGTTAGAACATAGGTGGGTGGAGTAAACAGAAGAGGATGCTGGGAAAAAGAAGCTGAGTCAAGGAGTCACCATGATTCTCCCACTCCAGACAGACGCAGGTTAAGATCCTGCCTGGTAAGCCACCTCGTGGGCTACACAGAATATTAGAAATGGGTTAGAACAATATGTAAGAGCTAGCCAATAAGAAACTGGAACTAGCCGGGCCAGGCAGTGTTTAAAAAAATACAGTTTCCGCGTAATTATTTCGGGGCATAACCTAGCCATGCGGGCAGCCGGGTGCCGGGGACGCAGCCCCGCTGCTCCTAATTCAACACACACACACACACACACACACACACACACACACACACCACCACCACCACCACCACCACACCAAAGCTCTACCTCAAGCCACCACCAGCTCTTACCCAGATTTTCTTAGCAACCTCCTATTTTGTCTCCCTTATTCTAGCTTTGTTCTCTTACAGTGAGTTTTAAAAGGGACAAAGTAACACTGTGAAAACCAAATCCATGTCACTCCCCTACTCAAACCTGCAATGACTCTATTTTCCCTTCCAGTGCAACTCAGATTCATTACAATGACTACAAGACCCTGACCTCATTTCTTACTGCTTCCCCTCCATTCAACTAGCTCCATTCACACCAACCACCTCACTGCTCCCAAGAAAAGCAATCACCCACAGGAACCCACTCTTCCCTCTGCCTGAAACATTCATTTCTGTTATCTGTACCACTTGTTCCTTAATCCCCTAGCAATGTTTTTTCTCAGTAAGGCTTACTCTGAAAATACTGTTCTAGTAATAATGTGGGCCTAATCCCCATACTCCTGATTTTATTTCCTTCTTCAAGTAAAATTTAATATGCTCATCTATAATCTATTGTTCTTGTATGGTGGCTTTTCTTTATTTTCTCTAGTGCTGGGGATGTAATCTGTGGCCTTGTACATGTTAAGCAATCACTCTTCCACTGAGCTATAGCCCCAACCATTTACATCTGTTCTATTTCCTATAATATGGGCTATATAAGGATAGGAATTTTTCTGTCTGGTTTTGGGCTGTGTGTCTGATGCCAAAAACAATGCTTGGTACACTACAACACAATAATGATTATGAATGGCTCTCATATTCCCTTTCATAAATATTTAATGCCTCATGGTACTGTAAGGACTAATAACCCAAAGGCATTCAAGCTCTGTATGACTTGGCCCCAGGCCACCTTGTACTTCTTCCCTCTTGACCCTTGTACTACATAAAACAAAAACTGAAACCTACTGCATGTCATACGATGTCCTGTTTATACCTTTGCAGATCCCTTGACCTGGAATGTCCATTTTAGGTATATTTCTATTTCTAGTACCTCTTAAATTTAAAATTTGACTATTGACAAACAAAATGTGGAACTCTGGTTGAAAATAAAACTTGATCATGTCTGAGCTCTATTTTATTCTTTAAGAATTTTTCCCTAATACTTATTTTCAAGAATGATACAGCACCCCAAGGCACAAAGCAAACTATATGCATGTAAAAAATTATCCCAATTACTTATGATAGAGAGCCATAAAACACTCTGCTATCTTGATTTATAATTTTTTTCCACTATGGAACATATATTCTATATAAATGTGAACATTTACTATAATTTGGCTATTTCCTAATACATTGCTCTCACTAAAATGTTTTCAGGACCTAGAGAAATGGCTCAGCAGTTTAGAGTACATACTACTCTTGTAGAAGATCCAAGTTCAGTACCCAGCTCCTACATCAGGTGACTCATAACCACTATAACTCCAGCTTCAGAAGACCCAACACCTTTTCTGACCCTGCAGGCACCTGTACATTACATTAGACATTCACACAAACACATACATAATATGCACATAAAAATTTTAAAAAATATTTATAATTTTATGCCACAAATACCATATTTCATATTTCTTTAAAATTGTTTGAGAGAAAAAAAATGGCCATGGTATGCTGAAAAGGAAAATCTTTAGCAGTTTAGAGACTGAGTTTCAGAAACTGATTTGTGGACACTGTATACTAGAAATGTACTAAAAATAATAATATAAGTCACAATTAAATGACCATCAATAGAAAATAAATACTTTCTGCCACATGAATGAATGTCAGTGAAAATGAAATGTACAAAAGCAATCCATTACAGTAACAAAATGGCACCAAAGAGGCAGTTCAAAACTGTAATTAGCTGCTTTGCGGCAAGATTAAATCACTCACATTCATATGAACTGATCTTTAAAACATATTTCAAAATTTCTGCATTAAAGTACACTTTCATACAACTGAGCATGGCAGTGTACACCTTTAATCCCAGAAACTTCAATCTGGGATTAATTAACCCCAGCCTTTAATCTACCTCATTCTGGGGAGGCAGAAGCAGGTGGATCTCTGAGGTTAAGGCAAGCCTGATCTACATAGCAAAGTTCTAGGACAGCCAGAGCTACACAAAGAAACCCTGTCTGCATTATAGTGCAAGGGTTGAGCATTCACCAAGCATGCATGAGAAACCATGAGTTAGGCCCTCAGAACAGAAAAACAGTGTTTTAAAATGAATAGATAAACATCATTTCATTTCTAATTAAACAGTGTTTTAAAATGAATAGATAAACATCATTTCATTTCTAAATGCTCTTTAAGGAAAAGTTCTCAAATATTTTCTGAATTTTATTTATATAGATGTAAATATCTTTCCCTCAAACCACATGGAAGTAAACATGGCTCTTATTCTTTGTACACACTATATAAATATACATATACATGGACTCAACGAAAAAAAACCAA